GTCCTCGAGGGTCAGCAAGATGCCTTTGGGCGTGCTGATGTAAGGGTATGGGCGACTCGAGAAACAGATTCGGAGTTGGATGCCAGCCTCGGTCGTGTCCTCTGCCAAATCCTCAAAGAATTGGACCATATCCCGGACTTCCTGCTCGTCACATTCGTCGAGGGCGTCGATGAAGCAAGTAAAGGAGCGCTGGCCAAGGCTTAGGAGGGCACTCCTGAGAAGCTCCTTCAGCGCGTCCAAGTCAGGGCAGTCTTGCTGGCTCGCCGGAATGATATCGGTGTTGTCTAGGATAGATTGAAGATCCGGAAATCTCTTCAGGAGCTGCATTAGCAGGGACCGGTACATGCCCGTGATAGACTTTTCCAAGTATTCGCCGCGAGCGTTGAAGAAGAAGGACGCGGACATGGTGTTGGATCCGTCCCTTTTTTCGACTCCAAGTAGACAAACTTCATCATGGTTGACTTCCCAGCGCCTGCCTTGCCTCGCATCCATAAGAAACCATGGTTTTGCGATTGCATTGCGGGGTCGAGCCAATCCCGATATGCCGAGTGACGGACGAACCAACGGCAGGTTTTGCTGTGTGCGGTTCGAATAGTGGTTTTCCGAGCATCGATTTGGGCGAAGTTAAGGGATTCTAGCAAGCGTTGCCGCCGTTCTGAAGCTTGGTCGTCTGCTCGTGGCCGGTCAGTATGGTGCTCGGCAGGGACGGGAGGGGGAGGGTCAAGGAAGGAATTCATTACCAGCAGTGTCGGGCTCGCTCGCGTTGTTGAAGCGTGTGGTATTAGCCCGGCTGAGTTCCCCCGATGAAGCCGGAATCACTTCCAGCAGTTCCCTTGCGTATGCGGCCGCCGTCGCAGCGGCATAGTCCTGCCACACTTTGTTCTTATGGGAATCTGAGTAGTCGCAAATGCCGCGAATCGGCAAGCACTGGACGTTATCCATCATGCCTGCTGCCTCCATCTCAAAACACAGCGCCGAATGCAGCCGGGCAATCTCATCTCGTTCCTTTCCGTTTCTCATAACCCTGTTGGCTGAAGCGATGACTCCGTAGTGGATCTTGGGTTCGTCAGAGAGACGACCGGCTCGTGGCTGCAGCTTTTTCGGGTCGCAGTCATTACATGTTGGCGCACGGAGAGGGTGGTGTTCGTAGGAGGCCTGGAAAAGGCGATCGGGGTATCCGGACGCGAGAGGTTCGGGAGTCGGCTTCGTGAAAGGCTTACTATTCGATCGCTGGATTGCTTCGATCGCAAAGTGGACACGGCCGAATTCAGCAGCGGTGCAGGAGTCTTCGGGATGGCTGTTCCTTGGAAGTGGCCGTCCCCGAGTGCCTTGCCCATGTCATACTGCATCACCCTCGTGCCGACGACTACGTCGCCCAGGTACAAATCGGCCTGGCTTGGGGATCCGCCGGCGATGCCGACCATCAGGGTGGCGCGAATGCTGGGAAAACTTCGCTTCACGTTTGTCGCGACGATTGCAGCGTTGTTCGTCCCGTATTGCCCAGGCAGGCAGGCCATGGCGACGTTGTGTCGGTGGATGCGTCCCAGCACGTAGGTGTTGTCATCGCCGGGTATGCCTGGTTGTGGTGGGTGTTGCTCATCCAGCATGGCGCGAGATGCCGCCAATTCCAGAGGAAGCGCACAGATCCAGGCGATTGTGTAATCTCCATGCGCAAGGGGCACGCCGCCATGGGAGTCATTGCAGACGATGTCGAAGGTTTTTGGGCGCTTTGGGTGGCTCGCATCCGAGTCTTGATCATCTTGCCGTGGTCGTTTCGAATTCATTACACCGCGCTGCGTCGACAACAACTGGGGAAGCTGGTTGAAGGAATCGAGGACAGGAATGCCGGGCTGGCGGTGAAACAGTCAAAAGACTCGAAACCAGGGTGCGTCAAAGACTCAAAAATGTAAAGTTGACAGGGACGTGAATTTAGGCAGGCTCTGAGGTGCCCAACCCGTGTGCCTCATGAAGTTCGAGACAGTGATGCCGAGAGAGACGTTGAGTAAGAGATGCGTTCCTCCAGGCCGGTGCGAGAGGAAGCTGAGACGGGGAGGACTCAGCTCGGCCGGCTGCCTCGTGCGGCGGACATTGCCGCTCTGGCTGACTTTTTTGTTGCCCTTAGGCCATTGAGCCTCAGTCGCAAGCCGCGTTAAACCGCCCAGAGCGATTGG